CTCGCACTGCCTCGCCCCCTGTCACCATTCACGCCTTAGGAAGGGGAAAGAGGAAGCGTCACCCACTACTAAGCCATCTACATTTTCACCAAACGCTTCCTCATCTCGTCAAAAGGGGTCTCCTCAATTTCCCCCGTAGATAAAAATTATGTTAAGACGCAAAAGCAGTAAACATAAGATGGGGCCAAGAAAGATGTTCTTTCGTACCTATTTATGCCTCCACTCATTCGCCATCTTGATGATCCTTATTAATAAGGGTATTAGATTCCAAAGAGTGGAAACATCTCAAAATCTGAATCACTTCAGGATCAAGGGGAGAAAGAACATACAGGTACACCCTTTCGATAATTCATGGATAGAATGACCATGATAAAAGGAAAAGAGGGTCATCCCTCACCCCCATAGTGACGGGAAAAATACGATCTCTCCCTCTTACCCGCATGAGTAAAGGATTTATGTCCTAAAGAAATAAAGAAACACTTTGACAACAGGAGACATGCCCAAACTGCAATAGACCATCTAAAAACCCTCACACGTTTGGGGTAATCTGAGAAGAGGAAATGTTGATGGTAGTCATAAAATCTATTTTAAAAGAAGTGAACATAATCAAAACCATCGGCTCATGAATAATAAGAAGGTGGACGTAAAAATAGGGAGCATATGGCTCACCGGAAGTATCTATGTTAGCCATCTCCTCTGTTAAACAGAGTTTTATAATCACGTCTCCCTCATGACATGTACTAGAAAATCTAGTGCCACAGAGAAACTTATCAATCATATCCATAATAGAAATCGAGGAGGAAATTCCTTGAACATGAACAAGTTTAGTTTTCTTTCCCATGATCACTAGAGTAGAGAAACTGAATATAAGGTGCTTTCACCCTGGTATATTTTTCTTGAAAAATAGAAATGGAAAAAAGAAGAAAAGAAAGGGTTTTCGAAATATTATAGGAGAAACTAAATAGCACAAGCCATACATTCACTCAATGAGGTAACTGCCATAAGAAGTGCGGAAGTCGCTACACCTAGAAGACGCGTGAAAGAAATAAATGATAAATTGATTTTCCCAAAGAACGTCATCATGAGGTGCATTAATTCTACCCATATTCTTTATCCACTAAAGCACTCAATCTTTTAATAGTGATTGATATTTTGACATTTCAGAGTCTAATTGGAAGAAACAGGATGTATCCCTCTATAGTCCATTCGTTTACGTCGCCCTAAGCTGAAGGACTCGCCCCTAGTATATATTCACTTTCAGATGAGGGACTCGTCCCTAGCAAATATTTTCCTTCAACTAAGGGACTCGCCTCAAACTAAAGGACTCACCTCTTTAGTAAATGAACATCATCAACCTAGGTAGGGCGAGGAGGGCACCTTGAACAAAAAAAGGTCTTAAAGACACTTCGTCCTTAGCAGAGCCCTCGTGCTTCAAGGATTATGTAGTGTTATATTTGTGAGACTCCTAAACTAGGGCGCCCTATCCCAATAGCGGTATCACCCAGGCAATGACCTGAGGACTCTCCCTAGACACTGATGACGTGTGTAAAGTTGTTAGTCAAGGAAGAGGTAGTCCATAATTACTTCCAAAAGGATAGGTGGTCAATAACTTCCTCTAATCATGGGGGAGAATTTGTCACCACTCAGGGTTACCTTTATAAATACACATTTTTCTGAGGAGGAAGGGACAGATCATAATCTATACTGATCACACTCATCATACGCTTATACATAAGCATAGTATTCATCCATAAATTCTATCACCTCACCTGAGCATGAGTCCTAAAATCGCTATAAAATGCCATCGTATAGGGCTTATTGTTGCCGTGGACAAACTCTAACCAGCATACAGTGCAATATACCTGCTAAGGCCTCTAAGTCCCCCTACCCTTGAAGGAGGTACACACACACTTGTACTTTTTGACCAGTACAAAAATAAATTGAAGGTAAGGTCTTTATTTATATTGCAAAGTATGGTTCAAAAATGGAAATAATGCATGGGCAAATTAACTCACCCAATCGGATAAATCCTAAGACTAATCGATTAGGTACAACAAATAATTTATTTTATGAGCCCAATTTAGAAGTTTTTGATAGAGATCCATTTACATTCATTAAAACACTTTCACAATCGATTATAGACTTGTTTTATCCTTATCTAATCAATTAGGCATTTGGTCTAATCGATTTGGCAGTTTAAAAAATTTCCTTAATCAATATGACAGATCCCAATTCACTTGGGTAGACTCCAAAAATATTTTAGGTGATTATATTTGAGAAATAGAGGCTTCAAAAGTAATTTTTATAAGTGTGTGATTTATCCATGCTACTTTACAAAAATGTCCTTGTGTTTTTACAAAACACTGAACACTTAGACACAAACAAGAGAGCTTTCAAACTTCCTCTCTTTCACACTTTGAAGTTTCAAGTCCTTTTGTCGAATATACCAATCATATGAGCACTTCACTTGAATCTTCATGAGAATTAGGCTTAAGATATCTTCAAATCAGATGTCATCATTGGAGGATATCACCAGTGACCATCAAATCATAAATCTTCAGCTTTATTTAGAGGAAAGACTTGTTTATCTTTCTTATGCATCTTTGCCTGCTTGAACTATCTTTAGAACTTACTTGATGTTGTCATCAAAGGATGTTTCATCTTTATTAGTTGTCATCATCAAAATCATGATGACAAGCACATAGAAAACATAGAAAAAAGTTAAGAATCTATGGTAAACTTATAAAGGCAAGGGTTGAAATTCCTTGGAGTTCTTAGAATTTGAGATACCATTGAAGATATCTAATGGTTTTGAAAACACTTTTAAACACTTTGCGTTTGTGTGATTTATATATTAAGATTTTTAGAGAGATTGAGAAACACTTGGTTATAAATAGGGTTTGCTTTTTGGGAACTCTAAAGACTTTTTTCTAGTAACTCATTTGTATTCTTTTGTAACAATTTTTGGAAGTATAGCGAATCAGATAGTGGATATTTTTCTTGAATAGATCGTTTAAGCGAACTTGATAAACAAGGTATTGTATTCTTGTCTTTTATATTCTTTTGCCTTGTTGTGGTTTTGTTTCACCTTTGACAAGTTATTCTATCATTTTTTTCACAACAACATTCATGTTTGAGAAGATTTAAAAGAAAGATATTCAAAAATCGACAATATCCATGTCTCCACACGGCATTCTCTAAATAATACTCTTAAACAAGACTCTAAATAATGCTCTCAAACAAGGCTAAAGAAGTTTCTTGAAATACTTCATCTTGTGTCTTGGAATACTTCGTTGAGATGAACATTATGGGATGATTTAACATCACATTGGCCAATTCCAACTTATACTTGTCCTCACTTTTGCATATGTAAAGTAATGAAATTAGAAAGGAAAAAAAAAAGCTTCATCCTCAAGGATTAGGTATTAAGTTACTAATTGGTTTAAATGATCGATTTTCTATGGTAAAGACTAAAGTTTTATTGATAAAATCTTTACCTTCTTTTAACAAAGTTGACTATATAGTTGCTCAATAAGAAAGCAACATAGCTCCTTCATTTTCATTTTTGCTTATGGTTGTGATTCCAAAAGAGCTTATGGTTGTGGTACACCAATAGCAACGAATAATTCTAGGTTTTGTACACATTGTAATAGGTAGGGGTGTGGATGGCTCATAAACCAATTTAAATTAGTTTATATATATATATATATATATATATATATATATATATATATATATATATATATATATATATATATATATATATATATATATATATATATATATATATATATATATATATATATATATATATATATATATATATATATATATATATATATATATATATATATATATATATATATATATATATATATATATTGATTTGATTTTTAAATTTTTTTTATAAAACTATTTTAATTTCTAAAAAATATTTATATTTAAATTGGTCCAGCTTAAAACTGATTCCTAATAAAAATTGTTTTTTTATCTTGACCATTTTTAAAACCGGTTTCTCTAACACCCATCATACTAATTTTTTTTTGTCAATTTTTTTTCTTTAACCAATTTTTTATAATAAATAGAATAACGTAATTTAACAGCATAATTCCACAAATCGTATCAACCAAACCATATTATAATTTTAATTTGATAAATTAAACTTTTTGTCATAAAAACATATTTACAAAAATAAATTATTCCAAAACAATTCAAATTGTTATAATTAAATAAAATTACTGTTTTTTATTTTTCATTACCACATATAAACTCATAAATCTAACAAATAAAATTGAAAATGTCATAAGTAAACAACGTAGAGAGATATGCTTTCTGGAAAAGAATATAACACATTGCTTCAATTAAATTGATACGAAGTAGCTAAGAGAAACACTATAGTTTTAATTAATTTAAAAATATGGATTGGGTCACTTTGTAATACAAATAGTTTGGATATTTTAAATTGGTGCACCGGAATATATAGACCGGTTTTGATAAACCGGTTTAAATGCAGACCGCTAATAATAAGTATGGCCACACATTTAAACTCTGCTATCCAAAACATGGCCACCCAAATATTAATAAACCTTCTTCATCTACAAATGCCTCTAGCAGTGATCTTAATGAAGCGCAAAAATAATTGGAATTAATGAAATAAGATTCTATGCAGAGTTGGAAGTAAAGGGCATAGAATCTTGTCCTAACAAGTTTGATATGTAGAGTTTAGATCACTAATAACATGATATTGTGATGATTATGTATTTTTACAAACAAATTGAATTAAGACATAAGTGTAATGGTGAACATCCAAAACAGAACCTAGTATGATGATTATGTATTTTTACAAATAAAAGAAAAGCACCAAAGAGAGTAACATTTATTCATAGAGAGCATGCTCCAATTACAGACTGAGAAAAATTCTTATATGTATGCATGTTGTTCGCAATGCCGGAACTTCAAGGCCCGTCTTATACACTTCAAAAAAGTATTGAAGGAGATTCTTATCCCATGGCAAACTTCTGAGTCCAGCTTCTAGCAGTGGACTCATACTTGACTCTGTCGGTTTTGCACATATGAGCAACTTCGGGCACTAGAGGGTCGTCCGGATTCGGATCTGTTAGCAGAGAGCATATAGAGAGCAGCACCTGTATTGTATCATCATGTGTTTTAACAATCAATAACAGTTTTTTTATAAAACAGAAAGAAACTAATGAAATGAATGAAGATGGTTCGCAATAACAAAGACCTTGGATATTGTGAGAGCAGGACTCCATTGTTCTTTGAGTATGTCTAGGCAAATATTTCCATTGCTGTTAATGTTGGGATGGAATACCTTGGTCCTGAACGCGACCTGCAAAAATTTTTATACTAACCATCAATTAGATTGAACATCAAGATTCATATCCTGGATACGGCCGAGCCATGATCCTTATCAAAGAAAACAGGTGTCATAGTGTTTTAAAAGTTTTTTGGTGTATACCTTGGGAGGCTTGAAGGGATAATCAGGAGGAAAATGAATGGTAACAAGGAAAACACCACCAGCATAAGGACTATCATTTGGACCAATGATGGTTGCTTGCCAATGAAACATGTCCTCGCCGACAGGGCCTGAAACTCATCATAACAATCACATCATAATACAGTTATTGTTAACTAAACCAATTCAAGTTTCATTCCAACTCTTTACCTGCACTGCATGAAGTTGGTGGATCTCTCTGCAAGTCCTTGAGTTCTTTTACTATTCTCTTGGAAGCCATATTCTTCAACTGGTTGGTTCTCTTCTCAGTATTATGGATTGGAGATTACTAGCATACTATGAGAAACAAATCAGGTTGCATGTATATTTAACGAAGCGATATAGTCGGTGTTGTAGAAGAGAGATTGATAGGAATCAATGCAAGAGCTCCATTTGTTGAACTTTTTTACCAATCGAAGTGGGAACAGTATATATTCCTCTCAAGAAAAGGAAGATAAAATTTTAAGAATAAAGGATGTTTGCCATATTACTTTGTATTTTTGCCGCTTTCAACTAACATATAATTATTTGTCCTACCCACTAGGATTGAACTAGTGGTGAGATGTTTCAATAATTTTTGAGGTTCTGAACTCAAATACGGTTGTCCATCCACACAAAATTATTCCATAGGTATTATATATCAATGCTAAATGCTGAATCTATCAAAAGTTGATGGTTATTAGTTTTAGTTTGGTTTACAAGTCCAACATCTTTTTTCTTCCATTTTGTTATAGGTACCACCACTTCCTTTGTTAATTGTGTTGATGCCAAAACAAGATACTCAGTTATTGGATGCTTAATGAAATCCAAACCACCCAAAAAGAATAAATGAGATCCCCGATTTGCTAGCTGACTCTATCAGACCACAAGTTCAGTATCTGAAAAAGTTGTCAGAACTGAAATAAATGCTTTAGTTGTCTTTTCTATACTTTAAAATAATGAGTAATCCTGTGCAAGCATAAAGTTGTTTCCATCCACATAGTCCGCTTAAAGTTTTGGAGACTCTTTTGATTAGTCACAATTCTTAAGCTTTGGAGACTCTCTTTTGATTAGTCACAATTCACTCATAACAAATCAATTAAAAGCCTTATTTAACTATCCTTTAACTAAAACAAATCTATAATGACTCTATTTAGCACAAATTTAATCGCTTATCGCTCGTCTTGCACACCCTCAAAAACGATCTTAGACATCCATATAGTATTCTCTCCTTTATTGCACCCTCTTTAACCCTTAGGTTGTCAAGAAAATATATCCTAGAAATCCAGAGTTCAAGAATTCGGGGTGGTAAGTGAAGTCTGAACAAATATTTTAAAATAAGGTGCAATCATGTGCAGTTGTCATAAGGTTTTATGGTAAAGTTAACTAAGCCAACTGAACTTTGGATTACAAATTTGAACTTGAACTCACTTGAAAACAAATGGAAGAATGAATCAATGAACAAACCAAACTATATTCAGGCTGTTAAACAGCTGACATAATTAATTACATATACTTAGTTCACATCCAAAGCCACATGCAAACACTTCCTAGATTAGATTACAATGTGAGTAAAACCCATGTCCACAAATGGAGATGGATAATCAATACAGCAGGTAATATCCCAGAGAAATACAAGAGTTTGTACACACCAAACATGTTAAAATTATGACTTTAAATATTATATCCTTCAGCCAGAGACAAATAGCTTGATGCTTTATAACCAAAACCTTATCGTGGTCAATTGAACATGGCGAACTCCTCCATCTAGGTTGAAAATAGTGTAAGATATAGAATCAGAAATGGCAAACACTACCAGGAAATGGCTACTGTCATGTCATCCTCCATGAACTACAGTATGAAGAATTGAAGATCACAAAATAGAACAGGCTTTATGCCCCTTCCTTTTCGGTTTCTTTTGTTTTGGCGGCTGTAGAACTACTTTTATGGCCGCATCGAAAACAGCCTTCACATTCTGTATCGAGAGATTGATTTGATTAGGTTATGACATAAAATAAACTCCAGAACTTTCAAAGATTCAAATAACATTTATGTACCTTCTGTGTTTTGGAACTACATTCTATGTAAACTGGAGCACCAATAAGTTTTCTGAGCTCCTCACCCTTCAGAAAAGTTAGAAAATCAAATCAGACAGACCAATGACCTATCTAGTAAGTTGATGCCCAATTATGAGCAAACAAAGGCTAAACGACAGAACAATTAAATAAAAAACAAAGCAAAAGCAATAACAAGAAAAAATACAGAGTATTAGCAAATAGCAAGTACCTGTGCTGTGGTGATTGGTGCAGCACCCGGATGGTCTTGAAAGAACTGGTTATCATCTCGAAGATCTACAAGACATAGATTTAGTTGCCATTAAATGGCCAAGCAAACAAATCATGACAACTTTATAACGGAGCCATCAAATACATGTTTAATTTAAGTTAAGCCCAATATGTAGGAGGAAGCACATTCCAAACGCTACCATGAAAACTATCCACAGAAAATTTTCAGAACAGACGATGCTCATTTGTTACAGACTATTAGCAAAAGAAATTCTGACTAGTTATGAAATCAAGGACTTATTATGCCAAGCACTGACTTTACCAAGGTAACTATGTACTAATAGCTCGCACTCTTCTCTCATTTTTAACTTCTTAAAAAGACACTATACTTGCTTTTATCACTAACACTTGTGCAACAACGAAAACGGCCACAATATACTTGCCTTTTAGTTTTCCAGGAAGTTAAACATCAAACAAAGTTGAAACATTACAAAGGCTGTTGTATGACTTAGATAAAAACTTAAGAAGATAACATTTCCCTCTTGGTTATATATTCTGGACCAGTTATTAGTTTAAGTCGTGACTGAGGTAAGCATGAGAGATAGGAAAGAACACTATTCTCTCAATCTCCACTGAATCACAAGCCAAGCCATCAATCAAGGGCAAGATATAACTGCAGTAGCTCTAGGTTCGAGAATTTAAGTAAGCACTTCTAGATAAAGGATAGGGCAATAAATAATTAACTTTAACCAAATTAAAACAATGAAATGAGTAAAAGAAAGCTATTAGTTTGATCATTAAACGAAAAAACTTAACAGAATCACAGAACTGTTATTATGCTTCTCTTTCACAAAAGGAGCACATCAAACATGTAAACATATTTAGAGAGTAAAATGAAGAAGTGCGAGTCTAACCAAGCTTTGTTCCAACGAGAATAATTGGAACACCAGGAGCATAATGCCTCAACTCAGGAATCCACTACAAAAATGGAAAGGGGAAATTAGTCCGTAGTAGAAGGGGACAAAATAGAAATAAAACCGAATAATATCAAGCTTACTTTCTTGGCAATATTCTCATAGCTAGCTCTACTTATGAGAGAAAAGGCAAGCAAGAAAACATCTGCTCCACGATAGCTTAAGGGTCTTAATCTATTGTAATCTTCTTGGCCTGTTTCATAAGTTGAAAATTTTATAACAATCACTATCCAGCTCCAAAAATAATCAACAAATGAGGTAAATACATAATCATATCATAAGAAACGTACCAGCGGTATCCCACAACCCCAAATTTATAGTGCTCCCATCCACAACTACATTTGCACTGAAATTGTCAAAGACAGTGGGCACATAATCCTGTTTCCAATAGATGAAAAAGAAACAAAACATGTCACAAATTAGATTAAATACACCCAAAACCATCCTCGCCTATTAGTCAATTTAGAAGTCAAACAAAGTCATATTTTTGAAGATTATTGCATCAATCCAAAAACAAACCAAAAAAGGATCAAAATCAACATTAAAGATTCAATCAAAAAATTTCCCTTTTCCTCTATCCAGCAACAAATTAAAGATCCCAAATTTCGTCTATTATGAAGAAAACATAGCATCAGCAACTCCAAATCAAAAGGGATGAATCAAGAAAACTGTGAGCTCAATATTGTTAGAGAAGAGAGAAAGAGAAGCACAAACCGTGGGGAAAGTGTTGCTGGTATAGGAGATAAGCAAACAAGTCTTGCCAACGGCACCATCGCCTACTGTGACACACTTTATGAATCTGGAACCACTCATTTCGGAAATCGATTCAACTTTGTTGCGTGTATAAACCCTAATTATTCATGTGGCAATGTTGTAGTATTTTTCAAAGTTCAGAAGAATCAGTGAAGAAGAAGGGTTAGAGAAAAAGAAGTCAAATTGAATTTTTTTGAGTACAGAAGGTGATTCTTCTTGTTGTAGTAGAGCCAGCTCTTGCCAGCTAGATATTGTTATTATGATCAAACTTTCTTTTTAGTTTTTTCTTCAATTTTCTTACTCTATCTAGACTAAAATATCAAACTAATAACTTAGGATTAAAATTTATAATATAAGTTATTTGTTAGGTAAAAAGTGATAACTTAAATTTGATCTATAAAAATAACTAATAGAAATTATAATATATTTATTTAAAAAATTGGGGTAATATTATGTTAAAGGATTGAAATGTGAATATATATCATCAACTATTAAAAAATATATGATTGAAATGTTTAGAACATTCGTTAAGAATTTAAAAAAATATATATTTTATTTTAAAATATTCATATTTAATATTTTAAAATTAAAATAATTAATTTTTAATAATATTTTTTATTTAGAATTTATAAAGCGTATTTTTAAAACATTCGTTAATATAAGTCCAACATTGTTTAAATTATTGTATATCATTAAGATAAATTAAATACAAATTATAGAAAATATTTTTTAAATGTTAAAATAAAGTTTGGTTGGTAAATTAAAAGGGAAGAGCAATATATTTGCAAATAGAAATTTCGGTTGTATAAGTCAAATAGATAAAATATTAATGTAAATTTATGATATTGTTGACCAAGTTTATATAGTAATAAAAATAGATTAAATAGCAGATATATATAACCTTTTAAGTTTTACTCTTTATGGTCAATGCGCTTTTCTTTGTCATTGTCGATTTAAATATGAAATACACAATACTATAAATGTTAAATATAGCATACCAAAAACTGTCATCTTATAAATTTTAAATATTTTAACTTTTAATATATAATTAACTTAAAATTTTACATATCTTAATTATCAATAACAGATATAACATTTCTACCAAATATTCATAATTTAAATCTTTTTTGCGCTCATAACTATAGTAATGGTGATATAATTCTTTTTGCAAATTTATAATCAATAAAAATGACATAATTATCTCACATACTAATTTAGTTTAGATATACTTATGTCTCAATACATTTTGAGGAAACAATAAAATAAATGAAGACAACAAAGAAAAAAAGAGTATTTAAGGAACCTATACTACTTTTCAATTTGTAAATAGGTAATATAATATTTTACTATTAATTTAGCAAGAGTTACAAATAATTATTGGAGTTAAATGGAGGATAATAATTTCAAGTCTCCACTAGGTGGATTTGAAGACAGTTGGGTTTGAAATTTACATTTCTCTTTTTGTTACATGATTCATAGTGTTTATAAAAGTTTGTTCGAAGTTGACGACAACAACAATAAGGATAATTCTAAATTTTTATAGTTAAAGATTGTGTCGTTTAAGGTATTTAGTTTTATCTTATAGTTGTTTTTTAATCGTATTTTGACGAAGGACAATTTGACTAGGCGGCAGATTTTTGCTACTACCGAATTATGGTGAGGATGAAGATAAGATCATTTGTTTGTAAATTGTGATTTTTTGGTAGACATTTGTGGCATATAATTTCTAATAGGATAGGTTTCTAACGGCATTTCAAGAAAAGTTATTGGATCATCTCTTACAGTTATGAGGGTTAGGCAGTTTATCGAAAAAAGTTTGGCTCCTTCTTAATACTATTTGCCTCTTTGTGATTTGGGTTATTTGGAAAGAGTGAAACACTCGTATTTTTTAGAATAAAGAGCAGCATTTGCAAGCGTTCTCGAAAAGGGTAAAACTTCAATCTTTTTGGTGGTTAAAGTCGAAATATGTGTCTTTTGATTTTGATTACCAGATTTGGAGGCAAAATCCTTTATCTTGTTTATCGTCTATTTTATAATTAGCTTTGTGTTGTGTTTTATTCAGAGTTTTTGTGTTGTAATTTCATATTCTTTTTTGTCATCTTTGATGTGTCCATATGTGTTTTTGAAATTTTAAACACAATAACAACAAAAAAGTGTAGTCTTTTTGAAATTTAAACACAATAACTTTTCTTTGTTGTTATTGTTGTTGTCATAGTATAACGTCAATGACATCCTGTGTCACGTCATTGAGAATTTGATTACTCCACAATGGTTGAGTGCAACTACTTCTAGCAATAATATACTCTGGTTTTGCCTAATTAACATTATAGTATCCAACTAGCGAATAGTTAGTATCAAAATAGTATAAAAGACTATAGTCAGATTTTCCAGTTATGTACTTTAGGATTCTCTTTACTTGAGTAAGATGAGTAATTTTAGGATTGACTTGAAAGTAAGCATACATACCAACATGGAAAGTAATTTCAAGACGACTAGCAGTGAGATATAAGAAGCTACCAATCATACTTATGTAGAGGATTTAATCAACAGTCACACCTTGTTCATCTTTATAGAGATTGACATGAGTAGCAATAGTTTACATTTTTTTCCTACCATTTTCCATCCTAAATATCTTCACAATGTTTCTAGTATACTTACCTTGGGACACAAAGATGCCCCCCTTCATTTGTTTCACTTGAAAATCAAGCAAGTAGGTAATTCGCCAACTATGCTTATCTTAAGTTTATTGAACAACTTGATCTAACATATTACTTGACATCCCACAAAACACGTTGTCACATACATAAATTTGAACTATCATAAGATTCCAATTGTATTTCACAATGATTATTTCAATGTTGTTGACATCAGTACTAGCATCCTGACTAACTTCCATATAATCATCATTCTCAATGAAATCATCCATGCCATTGACATCATTACTAACATCTTGACTAAATTCCATATCCAAGTGCCTATTTAAAAAGGCACTTTTCACACGCATCTGGTAAAGTGTGAACATAAAGAGACAAAATAATCCTAGTAACAGTCTGATGACTTCAAAATGGGCATTAGGAGAAAGAGCTTCATCAAATTTAACCCCTTCGATTTGAGCATTGTCTCGTGTTACAAACCATGCTTTGTTTCTAGGAACAATCTCAGCATCACCTAAATTATTCTTGCCAGTACATTGTGTCCCAATGATATTAACAAAATTTTGTCCAAGAAAAAAATTCCCATACTTCGATTCTTTCAAAGTGAACAAGTTCTTCTAGACATTATCTTTGCGGGGTGAAGCATTCATCTAGATTTCCTTTTCCTTCTACATGCTGTAAGTTGTTTCATACATCGTCTGTAATGACTTGCTTAACACTATGGCCAATGAGATCAAAATCTTCATCTTCATAGGGAGTCACTTCAGTTTGAACGTCATTAACCAAGACTTATATGGATTACATTATATATTTTGTGTACTTGTTAAAAAATATATACGCCCTGCTATTAACGAAACATCCCAGAAGTATGTATTCATCACTAGTTACCACGTATTCATCCACACTCAATGTTTCAACATCTTTCGCAATATCTCAAACAATAGCTTGAGAATATAACATACTATTTGTCTTTGGGCTCAACATTTGATTAATGCTTTCAATTACACCCTCTCTAGTATCGAATGCAACAATTATTAATGTAATTCCTTAGCCTCATGTATGATAACCTTGAGAGGATGGCTTTTTATAAGCCCATACATGGGTTAGACATCAAAAACATTTTCACCAAAAGTCATATCAAACTCATTATAATGTGGAATATTGTTAAAAACAAGGAAAAAATATACCTAGGGTCCTTTAAGTTATTTTATTGTAACAAGGCAATCCTTTATCTTTTTTTCGCTACAAACAGGTTCCGTTTGTTTTTAAATTATAACAACCAGGTCCTTCAAGTTTTATTTGTTGTACAAATTACGACCTTACTGTAACAAAACTGGTATAGAATTGCAACACAAAATAGGCACCAAAAGAAGAATTAACCATTGTTAACAAGTGTTACATGAAGGTAATAAAAGTCATGTCTTACGATACTAACATCAAAATTAACAATGATCACCACTTCTGAACCAAAATACATATCAACACTACAAAAATAAAAATTAACAACATTATGACATGGACTAGCATCTTCAACATGTTCTTCATGATCTCCTTAAATGACACATCAACGTCGTTAGTGCCACATAAGCTTTTTTGGAACGCAGTTTGTAAAAGAGGTCAACGGTGAACACATTAGTTAACATAAAGGACCAACTTGTAGCGGGAAAAAAATAAAGGACTTCTTTGTTACAATAAAATAACTTAAAGGACCCTGGGCATATTTTTGCCTTAAAACAATGTCTAGGACATGTTTCCCGACACACGATTTATAATTGAAATTCAATAGACTGGAAGGAACACCAATTTCATCTCTAACGGACATGATGTCCTATTTTTTATTAATCAAATGTTATAGATCATGACTCTTGCCATTTCTTTCCCTTTTTCATGTTATAAGTGATGGAAAAGAGCTTTAAAGATAGTGAAGGTATAAGACTTCTCAAGAATAAACTTAAATCTAAAGTAGTCATCGTCATAGACAAAGACATATCTCTTTTCTCCAAGTCTCTCATATTGCATGAGTCCCATAAGATTTTTATGAAGTAGCTAGAGAACATGAGTAAGATGCTGAAACTTCTTATGAGACATCTTGGTTTGCTTTCGAACTTGACAAACATCATAAATTTTACCTTCTTCAATTTTGAGATCAAACATACATATGACAGTTTTTTATGCAATAAGATTCCTCTAAATCCCAAGCTTTATGTGTCATGGCTTAGTTTTTATATCTACAATGTCATCCATAATGTCAGTAACATGATCTTTAACATTTTGCTCCATATTGTTAGCAACAGTCATCTTTCTCTTTATGGATTTTATTTTCTTAGCGCTCTGTTTATTCTTTTTCTCAACAATTTGAGATATGACAAGTCTGGGGTTGGCTCTTCCTATGAAGATTTGGATCCT